AATGATTAGACATGTTTTTTATTATTGTCATTAGTGATTATCTCAATTTCGGCTAAAAGTATTGACAAAATCCTACACACTGTGCCTTTAAGATGTTAAAATTAAGTTTACACTTAAAAGGGTATTGGGTATTCATGACAATTTTATAGTTTAAAACTTATATGTGTTTAAGATGTATTTTCTGCAGTTGTTTTCAACAATGTGTTTAAAATCCCAGTTTCTTTCAATGTAAATTTTGCATAATGTAGGCAGTGACAATAGACAAAACAAAAGTTAATTGCCTCACAAATTGTTCTGTTATTCTTGTTTCTAAAAGGAATCTGTATTTTATATCAATTAGAGTCTTTGACATCTGTATATAAGGTCTACTCATCAAGGCAAATCTACTGTATATTCGTCATTTGATCAAAAAGAATAAATAAATAACACTGTAACRTTATTATAACTTACAGCTTTTATAAATTAAGCAATAATATAAATATACAAATAAAACTTTTATTTACAGTGAAATATATTGTATTAATAATATGTTGCAACCACCCCCAAACAATGTTGTAACCAACCCCAGCATCAGTTGCAACATCTGACTTTTCTTTTTTTTTTTCTTTTTTTGGATGGCCTCCCTTCTCCCCTTATAGCCATCCTCTCCACACCATTATAGTTTTTTTTTTTGTGAAGAGAAAATAGAGAGAAAAACAGAGAGAGAAGTAATATAAGTAAAGATAGAAAGACTGAAATAGCGATTAGGATTATATTAAACATACACCAACAAAACACAGGACCACACACGCAACATCTGTCCACTCACCTGAAAAATAAATGGATAAATACATGGAGGGCATATATAAAAATATACACATACCCATACATATATAAAGATATACATACATACATGCCTACATTCATAAATATTGTCCGTATATACACACAGACATATATACACACTCAGTGACAGTCAGAACCCCCCGGATCAGAACACCTGTTTGTGAGCAGTTGTGAACATGCGAGTATATACAAGATTTCTCCAATGGAATATTTAATAGTGACTGTGGAGGACCGAGACCCAACCCCCAAGACACGAGGCAGACATAGGGAAGACCAGAGCCCAAGGGCCCGAGAGGGATCCCGAGCGCAGAGCCCCAAGGGGCACCCACACGGGAAGATCCACCCACCCACCCCCCAGATCAGACCATAGGGGAGAACTGGGAGAGTCCCCCAGCGACCACACGCACAGCCCCCGGGGCCAGCAGCGACAAACTCATGGGCCCCACCGGCACCTGCCATACCAAAGCAGATCCAGGAAAGGGCCAGAGGTCCGGGCCCCCAGGGCGCACCCCCTCCAGGCCAAAGCCCGACAGGCCCGGAGGCCCCGAGCCCCAACAGGCAGTCACCAGGCCAGGCCGGCACACACCCCAGCGCCCAGCCCGAGACCCCGGGAACCCCCAGCACGCCGGCGGCCAGCCGCACACCCCACCGGGGGGCAAAGTAGCATTTTCATTTTCAAATGCAAATTGTGAAAATGTACATGCTTTAATTATCTATAAATGGTTTTGACTATTAACAGACAGATGTAATTTTATTGTATTAAAATTTGGTTTTTCTAATTCAAACCATCTCTGAGTAACAGAGTCGAATGCAAAAAGTGTTGCAACTGTCCCCAGTCTTCCCTAACTAGTGCTTTAGTTTTTTGGTCTTTCAGTTCATTTTGAATTTTATTCTTCTAATCTGCTCTTACTCACAAATGAACTGAGCATGCCATGAAATATTCAAAATGTTGGATTATTTGGTCCTACCTGTACACTTACTTTAGGCTAATTGATCAAGTTAGTTGGGACTTCTGTCCATGTTAGTACAACAGTATATACAAAAAATGCTACCAAAACAAGCTCCAGAAGCAGATTTAGAACTTAAAGATATTTGTGAAAACTCTTATCTGATCTTAAAGGAAAGTTTAAAACAAATCAATTTATAGCAAATGCAATACTGACAGAAAGACATAAATTTACCTCTTGAATTTGTTCAATTCCAAAGGCATTTCCATAAACCCAAATGACCTGTGACCCAGCTGCTGCATGAATTTACAAAATGGTTTATTGTTTAAGCTGCAGCCAGTGTTTATTATGATTGCTATGGTAACCACATGCATGTCTCTCACTCCCTGACAGCACTCAAAAAGTCAAGCAGCCTCAGTCAAACAGTCAGTGTCTGACAATTTTTAGTTTTACTGAAAACAATTCCATAAGTGGCAGATGCGTCTGGTCAGTTTTTATACATCCAGTGTTTTATGTAGATCTGACAAGTTCAAATGATCCTTCACTTCCTGTTTTGAASAGAAACCTCTGGGCTCAGATACAATGAAAGTCAATRAGAGTCTGGATGTGYGCACAGGTCACTAACCTGAGGGGGATTTGAGAGAAAATCATTAAGCGCTATAACGGTGAGAGATACGTGAAAGAAAAAAAAGCTCATGTTTAAACTATGTATGAAGTATCATGTTTTTGAGAATAAGAAGAGATGGGAAGTTCTGACAGCTCAAGTGTGATGTGTGGGATGGTATCCTACTTTCATGTTGATCTTTAAAATCTTCAAAAATCATAAAACTTGAAATGTGTGCAAAAAAACTCAATCAAAATGTCAGTCAGGTCGTGTAAAATCTGATTTTGTTTGATATGTTTATATTTCTTATGTAAAATAGGTGAGATCAGGCATTGTTTTCAATGCCTTTTGCTACTGAAATCACAGCATTCTTTTTCAAATTAGCTAAGACTCATAGTTTGTTTGTTTTCATGAAATTTTCCAAAAATGAGGGAGGAGGTGCAAATC